GAACAGGGCAGGAGGCAAGAGCTATAGCTTTATAATTATGGGCAATGAGAACTTAGGTAGAAATTAGAGAGACAAAGTTAATTGGAATGGGCATAAGAGGTCAAGTAATTGCCAACAATTATGTCTTTGATGAGGACACGAGCATACAACTCTGGTCCACAAATCCTTGACACCTCTAATTGTGAGATGTGGTATGTGTCACCTTGAGTCTGGACTCTGTGCTTGCTTGATCCGTAGTAGAAGTGATGCTATGCCAGTTTCTGGGTTCAGTGTTAAGAAACTGTCAGCTTCCATTTCCTGTCTCTTGAGACCACAACTTAAAATCCAGCCACCATATTGAAAGGAAGCCCAAGAAATCTAATGGAGAGGCCACATGTAGGCATTCTGGTCCGTAGTCTTAACTGAGGTCTAGATGATGCTCAACCACCACATATGTGTGTGTGCATGATCCTCTAGATCAGTGGCCCCCAACCTTTTCAGTACCAGGGACCAGTTTGGTGGAAGACAGTTTTTCCACAGACAGAGATGGTTTTGGGATGAAACTGTTCCACCTTAGATCATCAGGCATTACTTAGATCCTCATAAGAAGCACACAGCCTAGATCTCTCGCATGCACAGTTCACAGTAGGGTTTGGGCTCCTATGAGAATCTAATGCTGCCACTGATCTCACAGGAGGCAGACTCAGGCGGTAATGCTCAACTGATGGCTGGTCACCTACCATGCAGCCTGGTTTCTAACAGGCCGCAGACCAGTATTGGTTTGTGTCCAGGGACTGGGGATTCCTGTTGTAGATGACTAGTCATTGCCTGCAGTCTTGAATCTCCCCAGTTGAGTGGCCAGATATGGAGCAGAGGCAAGCCATCCCTGCCGCACACTCTCCAAATCCGATTCACAGAAGTTGTGACCATTATAATGGTGGTGGTTTTATTCTGCTAAGTGAGGAGTGTTTATTAAAATGTAGAAAGAGTAATTGAACAACCACTGTCAGGCACAAGTATACCACTATTAAGCAAGACCTGCCATCTCTGACTTGATGTAAATCACATGAGAATCCTATGAGTATATAGCTGTATGTCAAAAGAATGACTTGAATCCCTAAATATAGTAACCTGTAAATGTATTACTCAGAAAAGATAAAACTCCCTTTGAATAAGAAAAACTTTCCAAAAAGCTTATGGAGCTTTTTTTCCCTTACAGGAGAAACAAACCAATATGTAAATAAATTTTCAAGCATGAGCATGTTTCTTTGACACTACCTTGTCACTTCCCTTGTTTGTACCACACACTTTGCTCTTCTAAGCATTTTTGATAAGGGGAATTTTAAAAATCAGTAGATTGCAGCTTGTGGCTGAGGCATTTGGATCGTTTAGGTGGCCAGCTTTGAACTATTTTATTATTGCAAAATTGAAATAAATTGCTTTACTTCTCTACCAGTAGGCTTGTCTGCCAAATTTAACTTGTACGTTTCTAAATCACTTACATATTTTAAAGGATTAAAATTAAAGATGAGATTAAAAACTTTTCTCTTTGCTTCAAAGGGAGAACCAAAATCTCCACGGAGCCTAACTGACAACCTTTGTTGCTGCTTGGAAAGGGGGAGGGAAAAAAAGAATTGTTTGAAATGTTTCCTTAGTTCTTAACCTCTTGTTTTCCAGCCAGTGTTGTTTTGGACTAAACATTGGAATGTTGAGATAGATTGTGATGTTTATCTTGACTTTACTAAACCTAAAGTGATGTTGAAGAAACTGGTACTGAATATTTATCCATTTCTAAACTTGGCTGTGACCCCAGTCTTTAGGAGGATGGTTAATTTGACATGTTCTGGCAGAATTAATTTTGTTGCCATACCAGTAACTTTCTCCTAATAAATTTTTCTCTCTGGAGATTTCAACACTTCAAAAGATGATACAGCATACCTTTTGCAAAGCAGAGGATGATAAGGTTCACGTAGGCAATGGAGTCAATGATTACTTCTGCACCCCAACATATAATTATGGAAGCAGGATGAAGGAACCTTGAATATGCTTGCTAGTGGCACAACTGAACATGGGGAGAAATGTCAAGTCGAGGTTGAGGTTCAAAGTTAGGAACAGGTTTCCAGCTTTGCAGCTGCTGTAATTACACAATTCTGTGCATTGAAGCCATTTATCTCCTGCCAACTGTGGTAATTAATTTTGTTTTCAGTTAGTGGAGGGGGGATTGATCTTCCCTTTATGAAAAACTTTCTCACGCAAATGTTTTCCAGTGTTGAAATGTTGAATGGCTTTTCTCCTGTTGTACAGGTATTTACTGGAATCTGAGCTCATGATTCTCTGAATCCATGACTAATGCAAGTCAGAGCCAAGTTTATTGATGACTTCTATTTCCCTCTTTAGGGATCAAAGTTTTTGAAAATATACGCTACTTAGAACTTTAAAATTATCTCTAAGTCTATTTGCATGTAATGCAAGTATAGCAACCTGTACAGGTAAGTACCTTTTAGTTTCATAAACAAGGAATACAATCTCGTGCAGGCATGCATTTTTCAATTAAACATTTCATATAAACATATAGTTTGTGTGTCTCAAGGAGTTCTTTAACCCAAATACATGCCAGTGGCCTTGTAGAGTTGAGTTAGTGTTTACAAGAAGGCTTGTCACTGGGCAGCTTTATGTCACTATCCAGAAAACTTGGTCCATACTATCAAACCTTCACCACCAATGTTTTTTACTTTGATTTACTGTGAAAGTCTTTTCTTTTCTTTTTTTCTTCTTTTTTTGACATGGAGTTTTGCTCTATCACCCAGGTTGAAGTGCAGTGGCATAATCTTGGCCCACTGCAATCTCGCCTCCAGGATTCAAGTGATTCTCCCACTTCAGCCTCCTAAGTGGCTGGGATTACAGGTGTGTGCCACCATGCCTGGCTAATTTTTGTATTTTTATTAGAGATGGGGTTTTGCCATGCTGGCCAGACTGGTCTTGAACTCCTGAGCTTGAGCGATCCTCCTGCCTTGGCCTCCCAAAGTGCTGGGATTACAGGCATGAGCCACCACACCCAGCCTGATTTACTGTGAAAGCCTTTGATGTAATTTCCCTTGAAAGTTGGAGAAATTATTAATAGATTTTTTAAAAAGAAGAAAGTTTCAAAGGACATGACAAAATAATCAATGAAATGACTTATAATTTGTATTTTGGTATTTATAGAAAATCACTGTGGATTAAAGACAATATATAATTTTTATTTGATTTATTTCTTGTGTCTTCAAAACTTTGAAATGCATCCATGTCTCAGTGTTTTTGGGCTGCTAAACAGAACAGCATAGGCTGAGTGGTTTATAAACAACAGAAACTTCTCTCTTACCATTCTGGAGGCTGGGAAGTCCAAGATCAAGGTGCTGGAATAGTCAGTGTCTAGTGAGGGCCCACTTCCTTGTAGATGGCATCGTCTCTTCACTGTGACCTCATGCGATGGAAGGGATGAATGAGATCCCTTGAGCCTGTTTTATAAGGGCACTAATCTCCTGCATGGGAGCTCTGCCCTTGTAAACTAATCATCTCCCAAAAGTTCCACTTCCTACTATCATCACCTTGGGAGATTTCAACATACAAATTTTGGGAGAACACAAACATTCAAACATTCAGCAACATGTGAAAGGTCATAATTGATATGGTTTGGCTCTGTGTCTCCACCCAAATCTCATTTTGAATTGTAATCTCCATAATCCTCATGATTGGATCATGGGGGTGGTTCCCCTCATGCTGTTCTTGTGATAGTGAGTAAGTTCTCATGAGATCTGGTGGTTTTATAAGGGGCTCCTCCCACTTCCCTCATTTGCTGTCCTTTACCTGCCTCCGTGTAAGACATGCCTTTGCTTCTCTCTCACCTTCTGCTGTGATTGTAAGTTTCCTGAAGCCTCCCCAGTCATGCGGATATGTGAGTCCATTAGACTTCTTTCGTTTATAAATTACCCAGTCTTGGGTATGTCTTTATAGCAGTGTGAGAAAAAACTAACACAATTATGATTAAGCAAAACTGAAATTCCTCAGTGAATTTATTCTAAGAAATTAGATAAACCAAATAATATGAACAATAGATAAAAGATGATTGGACTGGAGGATAAAAAGAAAATTTGTGAGTGGTTGGGGATAAAAGGATAGTGAGGAGAAGGTAAAGTTGAGCAAGAGTTTAATATTTTTTTCCTAAATATTTCAGTTAATTTCTGTGTGCCCTCCTACACTTTAGTCCTGGGAATTTAGACCTGGAAGGGGTATTAGGGGCATTCCTGTACTTGCCCTTTTCAAATTTCAAGGCAAGTATGAATCTCCTGGGGATCTTGATAAAATGCAGATTTGGATTCAGGAGGTCTGGGGTGGGGCTTGAGTTTCTGCATTTCTAAAGCACTTTCTTGGACCACGTTTTGAGTACCGAGGATCTAGTCCACTCTCCATTCCACCCTCTTTTTATAGATGAGCATAGTGAGGGCCAGAGACACTAACTTTCCCAAGGCCACAGAGTCCCTTAGCGCTGCACAGACAAGGAGACCCAGATCCTCTGCTTCTCTGCCCAGTGTTTTCTATGTGGAGTGAGAGTTTTCCAATGGTGTTCTGCCAGCAGAAAGTCACCAAAATCATGATGCTCTTTGCAGAATCCCCTTAAATACTCACATACTCAATTAATATTCCTCAACTTTGTGCTAAATCAAATAGCATCTTACAATAGATTCTAGCAATCAGTGCCCATTATTTAATATCAGCAGCAAACACATCCGTTAACTTAAGAGGAGATCCGTGTTTGTACATCCCAAAGCTTACATTATTTGAGGAGTTCTCCTTTTAAAAAGGTACTGAAAATTTTAAATATAAATAAATATGAAGGTCAATATTTATGTGGAATGGGAGTAGAAATGTGGACATGTAACAGGAGCTTTGAAGATCCATGCCTCTTCCTTCTTAAATCACTTGCGGCAATTTACAGAGTTTTTCCTAACTGTTGCCTGACTTCCCCTGCCCAACCAGTAAGTACTAGCTCCCAGTACTTGCAAGAGCCTGGGCCAGTGAGGGGTCCTGAAGCTCAAGCATTATTAACTTCACTGTAGAGCTGTTTCTGGTCTAAGAATCAGTGTCGTCTGCATGAAGTGGGCTTTTCTGGAGCAATTAATGCCCTGGGCACAGTGCTCCATGTACCCCGAGACCCCTTGCATACCCATTTCATGGAGTGGATAATCCATTTGCTGGTCCTCCACAAGATTAGAGCTATTGAGAATCTTAACTAGACATACTTTGAGAATCTTAACTAGATATACTTTGCTGTTAGTATAATTTACGGCATTGTGTTAATTCTCACTCAGCTTCATCACCTCGTTGGAAGGCAGAAAGACAAGCCAATAGACAAACTAGAAAAACCAAAAATAGTTGACTAACTTGGAGCTGATCATGCTACATGAGGACGTGGTCGTCTGAGCTTCAGCAATTCCAGCGTATTATTATTGTTTTTTTTTTTTTTATCATCCCTGGACCATCCCAGTTATTACCCAGCTTTTGATCCTTTGCCAGTGTTCATTACTTTAGGTCAACAGGAGATTGATAAAAGTAACTGTCAAGTTGAATCTTAAAATAGAGAACCAAAATGTAGCTGAAAAAATATGCATGTGTTCTAATACTTCTGAATGTTCTTAGAAAATTGCTAATCCGAATTTTAAACTATTACATTTCATTTTTTAAAATACACAAGACATTTGTTTCATAAGACATTTGTGATGTTATATTTTGATATTCTGAATAATCCCCCTTGTGCCACAGTTTAGTATAGTTTCAACGCAACAAATATAATTTAGCTAAAATTAGCTGAAAGCATAATGGATATTAAAAACCTTCTGAGATACAAAGTTAAGAACATTACATATTTCTTTGGTATTGACTTTATGTGATGAATCATATTAATACATCTCAAGTCATTAATCTTGTCTGTTTGTATTTACTTAACTGGGATATGTAGTTTTGTTATATTCACTATTTACGCCAGTTATGGCGGATGCTATTTCACATATATCTAAAATTGGTTTACATATCAAGATGATTTATTTAAACTAGACCAACATCTACATTCATTTATGCTGTGGAAATCAGCTTTGATTGTCTTTGTAGCCAACTTGGAAAAAAAATCTGGTAAAATCATTTAGTTTCTGAGTTTGCTTTACGAGTGATTTTCTCTGGGAAAAGAAGGGGGGGACTTCTGCTAAATTGGGGATCTGGGTAACTGAGCATCTCTGGGAGGAACAAAGGAATAGAACAGAGGGGCTAATTGTTTAATTAGTAAATGTCTGCTTGGTTAATGACATATTAATGAGTTTTTAAGACCGTCATATCATTTACCATAAAAGACCCATGTGCCTATCCCTGGATGTACTGTATAATTAAGTAATGTGGCCCAGAGGAGTTAATCATTTAAAACCCTGTCATCTTTCTCAAGTTTGCAGATAGAAGAGCTAGCACAGAAGGCACCTGCCAGGTAGAGTCAGGGTGGCACATAATTCTGAACTAAATTGTCTCTCTGCAACGGCTGCACAGTCAGATGTCTGCCCAGAAGCAGAAATTTTTTTTTTCTTTTGACAACTGAAAAAGCTGCTAAGATACTGCCACTTGCTCCTTGGCACTCAGTTACTGGTAGTGAGAGTATGTGTTTGCAGAATAGGGACCACGTGAGCGGCTTTTGAGTACTTAAAAGACTGTGGAGGCTCAGAGGACTCAGAGATTCTAAAACTGTGCTATTCAATATGGCAGCCACTTGCCACGTGTAACTATTCAAATTTAATTAAATTAAATAAAATTTTAAAATTATTATTTTTTTCAGTCATATCAGCCACTTGTCAAGTGCTCAATAGCCACATGTGGCAAGTGGCCCCTTTCTTGGTGGCACAGACATAGAACATTTCCATCATCACAAATGGGATGGGATGGACCACATTGTGGCTAAATGCAAATGGTGGTGGGGGCCACCAGGACACTGGCAAGCAGTGCTCACCCTGTGTTCTCCATTCGCACCCGTGGAAAGCTGAAGAGAGAATGCATTCTTCAAACCCTGGAATGTCAGCCCCAGTCCTACACCAATAGTTCATATCCTTTTTTTCATGGGGCAGAATCCACACCAGAATATTGCAGCCATTTGTTTAGACTAGAAAACGATAATTTCCCTTACCACAGAGCACACAGTTTGGGGGATGAAAATTATGTTCTTATTGGTAAATTATAGAGCTTACTACCACAAGCAGCACTATGAAATTTTCCAGCCCAGCTCTTTGTTCTAACCTACTTCCCTTAGACCCTCCAGAGCTTCTTGTTTCAGACCCGCAGAACTGAATTCAAGTCAGAAACTGTAGTTCCACTGCTTTTGCATATGTCCATGTGGTTTTTCAATGTAAGATAAACTCTATACTCAAAAACTTTTGAGTGCCTCAATTTTCTTCGACCTTCTGCAGAAAAAAGAGTTCTCCAAATGGGTTATTTTAAACAATTTACTTCTCATTCCTGTTTCTTGAGCTCCACTCTACAGTCGGATTTGCATTAATATTTTCTTGCTTTAGATCTCTCCTCTCTCTTCCTGGCCTCTATTTTTCTAAATATTTTTGTCATGTTTTAGTCATTTTAAATTTAATATCCTGCAAATGTCTAATTAATTATGTAAGCATGTGCCACCTTATACAACTGGAGAGTGATTCCAGTAGTCTTCAGGGTAGAAATACTTAAGACCCCCTTCCTGATCTGCTGGTAGGAGCAAGAGGTCTAGGAGCTCAATCTGTTTCCCTTCAAGATTCCTGCTGAATCTTGACAAGGGAACAAGAACCTTGTCACCTACATTGGGAATCTTTGCTGGAGCTGTGTGATAATGGTGCTACTGCCAATAACTTGGCACTGGCCATATCACACCTGACGCAAATGCTCCAAATAATATAAGCCTGGAGTCCCAATCATCCCACAAATGCTAACACATCAGACACCTTCTAATTTCCAGCAGTCCAAGACTTTCTCTGTGTGATTTGCAGTGGAAGAAGAACAAGCAGTTTATTTTAAAAAACATAGTTCCGGAGGTCAGTTAACGTACACAGCTCAGACATAACTCTCTAGATAAGTGCACATCCATCTTTCTGAGTTAGAGAAGTCCTGCAGAAAGTATTGCTTGAGCGTAAAAAAATGTTATCACAAAATTCATGTATTTCCGCCTTGTCTGACATCAAATAGGGTAGATAGATTCTTGCACACAAGTGTCACGTCTTTCCCTACTTCATTGGCGGAAGGAGTACACTATTTCTCTCCTTGCCCCTGTGACTTTGTCTCATGGTGGACAAAGTGTACTTTTCCACCTCTTGGTCTGGGGCTTAAGTATGTGTTTTACTTTCGTCAAATAGATCTTATCAGGTACAATTTTATCAGAGGCATAACCTACACTTGCCCAGTTGGGCTTGCACTCTTGTATTCCTGCCTTTTATCATGAGAAGATACCTTGAGTAACTTTTCTAAGCGGATGAGAGAGACACACACGGAATAACTTGGACCCAATCTGAAGCCTGGACCCCAACCCAGCTGAGGCTAACCTAGCTCAGCTACATCCCAGCTACCCTGAAGATGTGTGAGTGAGAGAAAACATGCTTAGTTTTGTATGCCACTGAGATTTTGGATCTGTCAATAACTGAGACATCAGCCTTTTAATGATTAGCAAGACAATATTAATTGTGTGTGAAGGTCAAAGGGCATCTGAGGTTGTACGGGCATGATTGTCTGTTCTTTCTGGCTTTGTACTTTCGTGGTTATGAAACACTTGGAACCAGAACAGGAAGAGTATTTGCCATTTCAGCCCTACCCTTACATACTGACATGGTAGAGAAGTACAAGAAGATGGTCTTAGTCTTTGTCTTGGTGAGGCATGCCTGAAATGCAGAAGTGGGTAAAGGCCTTAGTTCTTGTGAGGCCTGTGAAGATGGCTTTGAGAGCCATTAGGGAATTTTATAAATATCCTATTTCGCCTCCTTCCAGGACCATGCTGTGTTTGCATGTCTCCACTCTCCTTGAAGTTGTCCTTGGCCAATTACTTGTTTTGGACAATAAAATGTAAGTAGGTTTGATGTGTGTGATGTGCTACCTCTGAAGCCCTAAGAACTAGTGTTTACCTTACCTCTCCTTGCCCTTACCATTGTAACTGGCCGCTTCCCACATGGTGGAGGGTGATGCTATGGAAGCCAAGTTCAGAGCTGATGGGCACAGAGCATGAGATAGAAATACACATTTGCTATTCTAACTCACTGAGAAATTTCTTTATTATACCATAACCAAACCTATCCTGGACTCTTACAATTTCCTGTATTCAAGATGATTGAAATCTAGTAAAGGAGATGAGACAGGTTCCTATTCAAATCAATATGGGAATAGCGCCATGAATGTATGGTTCAAAGTAAATTTTATTCGAATGTAGAACAAAAGAGAAATTACTTCTGACCAAGGTGATCAGAAAAGACATGGTTAAAGATGAACAGCTTGAGCAGTCATTTGAATATGATAGGATCTCAATAGACAAATGATAGAGGGAGGCATTCAAGAGCGATGAAATGGGAATGGAGTTGGAGAGCCCAAGGGGTATTTAAAAAATGGAGCGCAGACAGTTGAAGCCTTTTTAAAACAGGCTCATTGCATATAGCTGAGCAGCCTTTCAGTACAGAAACTCATGCTGTGGCCTTGAGTATAAGGCCCAAATAATACCAGATAAGAAGACCATGGCAGAGGGTGAAGACCCTTGAATGTCAGACAAAGAAATATGACCTATGTTCTATTGGGATGAGAGCAATGGGAGTTATCAATGCTTTATGTGTAATTCAGGAGTCAGAGGAAAGCAGTGTTTTAAGAAGATTCCTTTGGCATGGTCTACATGATGAACAAGGAAAATTAAAAAGGTGACTTATCTAATTTTCTCTCCCTCTTGCTTTGTCTAGAGGACCCACCACAACAATTGAAGAATGATATGGAAAGCCTTGATATACGAGTCATAAAATGGGAAGATACAAATGAAAAGGCACTTCTAGAGGGAAATATGTATCACGGAGTCACTAGTCTACAGGTTCTGCCACTTAGAAGGCTATGTAACCTTAGCCAAGTTACTGCTATATCACTTGAAGCTTCACATTCCATACATGCAAAATGGTGATAATACCAGTACACATTTCATAGACCTCTAGAGGAGTGGGTGGTAAATGAGAAAATTCACACATCCCAGTGCCTGTTTATCCTGTATAGTAAATACCAACAAATAGAGGCTACAATTACTTAAATTAATGGTCATTTCAGTTTCTCCCGAGGACTATGACGGTATTTTTTTTTTCCTACTAAGCAATCAATTTGCTGTTTCTATGTAATACTTTTTTGGAGAGGAAGACAAACTTCCTAAAAATGTTAAGCTATCAAAATAAAAATGAAAAAATGCACTTTTCTGTTATTTCAACATCACTCGTCCATTAGACCAGAAACACCAAGTAAGCATGACCATCAAGGCAGTTCTTTGTGCAGTTTGGTAATTCCTTTTAAGGCCCCCAGGGAGGCTGGTAGGAAAGAATACTGAATAGGAAAGCAAACAAGATTAGGTCAGCACCCACTCTCCCTTTGGGGGGATTCACAGTACTGTTTTTGTTTGAATAAGCAAAGCTCTTGCAAAAGTTTGGCTTGTTTCTCACTGAATCCAACGTCTTTTCCCTATCCTTCGGCTAATATTTTAAAAGGTAAAGCAAGCATTAGAAAAAGTAAAGTGGCAGTTTAAATAAAAAGTGGAGAAATGTTTTTCAAAAGGCAAACAAAGTCAGCCAAAATAAGACAGCCTTCCTTAGCTGTATGAACTGAAAATCGGTGAGTGAAGCTATGGAAACGTCTGTGTGCCTCTTCCCTGCCTGTATCTATCTTGGACACTTACATCTTCACATCAACAAAATTAGTAAGGAAGTTATTACCCAATTTTACAAATGAGGGAAGAGCAATTAAGTAAATTTAAAAGCACGAAATAAAAATGGGATTTCACTCATTCATTAAACAGAGATTTATGAATGTTGGTTTTATGGCAAACACTGTTTAAACCACAAGGATGTAACCTTGACCAAGTCACAGAATAGAATTTCAAGCAGCTAGAAATGTAATGGTGGGGTGGGAGGTAGACAAATAAACAGAACTAGTGTGATGAGGGCTTTGAAGGCTCCTTGGAGGAGGTGAATTCAAGCTTGAGTCCTGCTGGGTGACTGCAGGTTAGCATCTGCTAGGGCGAGAGGGCAGGGCACCAGGGGAAACAGAGGCAGGTCAAGGTGGCTGGAATGTGGCATGAGAGGCAAGCAGTGGCCAGAGCACTTGGATCGTGAAGTTCCTTCTGCATTATGGCATCTGGACTTCATCAGAATACGTTGTCGATATCCACTGTCTTTATTAGAATCTGATAAATCCTTAACCTTTCTATCATTACCACCTCCATCCAAGCCATTACAATTCCTTACTGTGATTATTATCATATTCTTTTGTGTGATCTCCCTTCTGATCTTGAGGTCAAGTCTATTCTAACACTACCAGAGTAAGCCTGTTAAAATGTAAGTTAGATTATAACTCTTCGGCTTACAACTTCCAATGTTTTTTACTTATTAAGAAAACAGACAAATGAAAAAGAGCCTGGATCCATATAGCCTGTATGGCTTTACTGGATCTGCTACCTTCTTTCACCACTCAGTTTCTACCATATACTCTCTGATCTCACTTCTTATTGCTGTTCCCTCTCCTCATTCTGTCTGGTCCACTGATTCAGCTTCCCTCCTGTTTCTAGAGCACACACAGTGCCCACAGCATGCTGTCACCACAGGACCTTTGCACCTGCGACTCTCTCTGCTTAGAATGTTTCTTCTTTCTGACCTCCTTATTAAGGTCTCTACTTAAATGTCACCTTCCTGCTGAGGCTTCCCCAATCCCCTTTATGTAAAGTTGTAACTCATCCTCCTACCCACCTCAGGAATCCCTGTCATGGAATTCACTACCTAACATACTTAAATTTCATGTGTTTCTCTTGTGTATCGTCCATCTCCTCCTCTAGCATGTGATCTCCTCGAGAGGAGGCATGTCTGCCTGTCTGCTCACTGCTGTGTCTCCAGTACAAACACCAGTGCCTGGAATAGAGAAGCTTTCCACTGTTTATTGACCACATGAATGAGTACACCTGGACACAACTGGAACAGTCGCATATGCCTTCTGAATGGAGCTTTCATTTCCTTATAAGACAAGTAGTAAACACTGAACTTCTGAGTGTCACTATGTGTGATAAGATTAGCCTAAAAAGTAAATCCAAATATAAAGGAATACAAAATGTTATAATCTAGGGAGGATACAGGCAAAACCCAGGCAGCACAGATCTATAATTTTTACTCTAAAGGTCAGAAATAGGAGCAAAATACCAATATCATAACCCAGAAGGGAAAGAGGTTTTAATAAACATAAAATGTTTGGCTTATGCTAGTTCTTTGTTTGTGGCAGTGAGAGGTGAAGCCAGCTGGACTTCCTGGGTCGAGTGGGGACTCGGAGAACTTTTCTGTCTACCTAGAGGATTGTAAACCCACCAATCAGCACTATGTGTCTAGCTAGAGGAGTATAAATGCACCAATCAGCACTCTGTAAAAATGCACCAATCAGTGCTCTGTGCTAGCTAAAGGACTCTAAATGCACCAATCAGCACTCTGTAAAAATGCACCAATCAGCACTCTATGTCTAGCTAAAGAATTGTAAATGCACCAATCAGCACTCTGTAAAAATGCAACAATCAGCACTCCGTGTCTAGCTAAAGGATTATAAACGCACCAATCAGCATTCTGTGAAATGGACCAATCAGCACTCTGTAAAATGGACCAATCGGTGCTCTGTATAATGGACCAATCAGCAGGAGTGGGCAGGGACAAATAAGGAAATAAAAACTGGCCACCCTAGCCAGCAGGTTCAACCTGCTCAGTCCCCTTTCCATTCTGTGGAAGCTTTGTTCTTTTGCTCTTCATAATAAATCTTGCTGCTCCTCACTCTTTGGGGCCGTGCCACTTTTAAGAGCTGTAGCGCTCACTGTGAAGGGCCATGGCTTCATTCTTGAAGTCAGCAAGACCAAGAACTCACTGGAAGGAAGAAACTCTGGACTCAGTAGTCTCTTTGTTTCCTTCTCCTAATGAAACACCAGATTCATTCCAGCTGATCTATCAGCATGGCTCTGATGCTTATTATTATTATTATTATTATTTTTGGTTACTCTAACAGCTAAAACACTTCCTTGTAATTTACCCGAGTGGCTTAATAAAAATGAAGTATTACTCAAAAGTATGTGATAGGACTAGATTTAACCATAATCTGGTTTAGGACCTCAAATGATGTCATCAGTACTCAATATTCCTCCACCTCACAGCTTCATCTGTCCCCCAGCCTGGCTTTAATCTAGACAGTGTCTTCATAATGGCAGGATGACTGCAGCAGCAGGAGTGTCAGTGTCAGCGACATTTAAGTCTGCAACAAACAAGTAACTTTTCTGGCAGCATCCCTTGAGAGTCACTCTGATTTGACCAGCTTGAGTTACAAACCACCTTGATTTGTGGCCAGGGAAAATGCAACATAGTGATTAGTTCACCCATGGGTCACATTCAGGTCCTATGAACTGATAGTGAGTTAGGTGCCAAATAAAAAATCAGTGTTCATGCCAGAAGGCGGCCATGAGGATGCATGAGGGCCAATCCACTTGTGTCACCTTCTGTTTTCTTCTAGAATTTCCTGAAGTTCATTATTGTTAAGGATCTTAGCAACCAGTCTTTGGATTTAATATTAAAAAAATAAAATGATAGCAGCTATGGTGACACATTTTTAGTAACTTTTGCCATATTTTAGAAAGTTAGTTAACATATATAAACATCAGAAATTACTGGACAGATCACTAAGGGTTATGACTTCATGGTAATTTATTTGTTCAGAGATGGGGTCTCGTGTTACCTAGACTGGAGTGTGGTGGCATGATCATGGCTCATTGCACCCTCAACCTCCTGGGCTCAAGCAATCTTCCCAAGTAGCTGGGATTACAGGTGTGCACCATCATGCCCATCTTATTTTTGTATTTTTTGTAGATATGGGGTCTTTCTTTGTTGGCCAAGATGGTCTAGAATTCCTGTCCTCAAATGATCCTCCTGTCTTAACCTCCCAAAGTGCTGGGATTACAGATGTGAGCCACGATGCCTGGCCTTTGTGGCAATTTAAATTAAGCTTTCCTGAATAGAAATTTCTCTGATGATGATGATGATAACACATAATACTCAGACAATTGGGCAGAAAGTAGGTTTGTGTATTGTTTTTTTCTTTTTCTTTTTTCTTTTTTTGAGATGGAGTTTCGCTCTTGTTGCCCAGGCTGGAGTGCAGTGGTGCGATCTCAGCTCTCGGGTTGAAGCGATTCTCCTGCCTCAGCCTCTCAAGTAGCTGGGATTACAGGTGCCTGCCACTATGCCCAACTAATTTTTGTATTTCCAGTAGAAATGGGGTTTCACTATGTTGGCCAGGCTGGTCTCTAATTCCTGACCTCAGGTGATCCACCCGCCTCGGCCTCCCAAAATGCTGGGATTACAGGCGTGGGCCATGGCGCCTGGCCTGTTTTTGTGCTCTTTAATCCACCATTCACAGAAAGGTTGAGGTTGGTGCCTTCTGGGCATGTGAATTTTCTTTGGGAAGGCAAACTGCAACTGTTGGGTAAAGTATGTAGCAACATGAAAAACACCAAATACTTCGGTATGCCATTCAACAAATTGATAGACATTCTCTTCTTCCTTTCGGCAGTGTATTTTATTATCCCATTCCTGATTTGTTAGGACTTCTCTTCAGTGATATGAAAATCAAGAAATGAAGTTAAAATTTTAGGAATATTCCCAAACAGTAAAAATCGGTGAGATAATTCTATCAGCCTCCATGGTGGTTCCTACTAGGAGCCAATTCAGTGCCTTGTGGTATTCACACAAAGAGAACATATTTTGCATAACATACCTTCCAAGCAGTGATTATCCCTTGTAGGCTGTGTGTTCTTCCAAGTGGTCCAGCTGATTAGAGGCTCTGAGTGAAATCTGTGCTGGCTGATAACCTGGCTACCTTGGCTTTCTACTACATTAAACCCTCTTTGTTCTTTTTAAACAGTAGCATTCATTGCCAGTAGACTTTCCCTGCCTTCAGAAGCTATGTTTCCTTGCCAAGAATTTAATTCTTACAGGTCACCAAGAAGTAGATGGTATGTGTTGGCAATATTAATATCAGAATGCAACTTTTGAGATTATGAATTATCAATAGAATATCACATATTGCATGCCTTTGTAGTTAAATTTTCAAATAATTCAGATATTTTCAAATAATTCAGTATTGAATAAATGTTATTGATCATCACCATCTTCACCAAATTGATGTAGCACTCCCCAGTTCTATCACATAATAGTCCCATTCAGTGTCCCATGTTAGAGAGTTGGATGGAGCAGAAAAAAATACCAGGGCGTTTGAGAAATGTTTATAGACCCATAACATATTGGCATATTAATGCCTTGAAATATCATTCATCATCTCTCAAAGTTATCATTGGCTTAGGCTGTTTTGAACCTCTTTTTGCCAGGTGACGACTTTTAATATTCCTTGAACTTAATTTCCATGGAGTACACATTAGAAGATGCTAATTTAACAAACACTTACATGGTCCTGTGTGCAGGAAGCTTGCCTCTGTATCACTGTGGTGTTCAGAAAAAGAAAGTAACAGTGTAGATCTTTGGCCTTTTCATCTCTGCTCTAAGCCACAGGTCAGAAAACATTTTCTGTGAAGTCCCAGATAGTAAATCTTTTTGGCTCTTGTGGGCCATACAATCTCTGTCACAATTACTCAGCTCTACCCTTGCAGCCACAGACAATGTGGAAACATAATGACCATGACTGTATTCCCATAAAACTTTATTTATGGCTAACAAATACTGGATTCCATATACTTTTCGCATATCGAGATTTTTTTTTTTTTTTTCCTTTTGATGTTTTTCAACCATTCGTTACTCATGGACAATACACAGACAGGGAGTGGATTGGATCTGGCCCATGGACCACAATTTGCCAACCCCTGCTCTAAACTAAAATGGGTAACCTAGATGATATCTGGACTTCTTTTCACACCAACCAGATCGGCATTCTGTATTACTATTTTCTTACTTTTCTTCTGTGCCTTTGCAAAAATCTTGAAGAAGACAAACCTTCTAACTCTACCCATCCCTCAATGCTCATTAAGTTCCTACTGCCTTGATTAAACTTTTTCTTTACTCTTTCTTCACGCAGAAATTTTTCTACATGACCCCTTTAGAATAAGGTATGTCAGGGCCATACCAGCAGCACCTCTCCTCTGACATTTTGAAATACATTTTGTTTTGCTACATACATTCAAAGAACACATGTTTTTTGGTCTCTGAATTTTTAAAAATATTTTTTTAGAGCACAAATCTAGTCTATGTTACTTTATAGCACCACTCCTGAACCAAGCTAGCACATAATTGTATATCCACTGAACAATCAATCAACACATGTTATAGAAAAACAGATAGTGTATAATCATATGAGAATGGATGAATATTATATCTATATTTTTATAGTCAATACTCAACTCTCTGCACATTTAGTATATGGCAAAGTGTAATTGACATGGGGTAGTAGAATGAATGTTATTATGTTTGGGATAGTATGGTTTATTCTCAGATGTCCATCTAATGAAAGCGGGTAGTTAGCTTGTCTTCATTCATTCGATAAATACATGCTTATTGAGTTCCTGTATCATAGGTCCCAGCAGTGAAGCAGAGCTGGGTTGTCGTTCTCATTTGTACAACATGACATCATCTCTGGGTCCAGAGTGTGCCTCTGAAACATCTCGCACATCAGACCTCTTCTCCACTCCATGCCTGCCTCTGTTAGCCTCTCATTGCTGCTTCATTCAACAGTTAGTTTTTCCTCCTGTAGTCAGCTGGTGTCTTCTACCTTGTACACAGTTGTCAGAGTGATACTTTTATGAAGTATAACATATTATTAATGTGTTGCTAATTTCCTGTGTCTAACTGTTTAAGGATTTGCATAGCCTGCAGGATGTGTGAACTTCTCAGGGTGTACATGTTCTCCCATGAAGACCCCTGCCTCCCTCATCTCTCTCATCTTGTACTACTTGCTAGAGCTTCCGTAACAAAACATTACTGACTGGGTGGCTTAAATAATAGAAATTTACTTCCCCACAGT